AGAGGGAGAGAGAGAGGGAGAGAGAGGGAGAGAGAGAGGGAGAGAGAGAGAAAGGGAAAGAGAGGGAGAGACAGAGAGAAGGAGAGAGAGAGAGAAAGGAGTTCCTGGTGTTGAATGAATTTTTCTCTTTATCTCCTTCTTTCTGGCCTCCTCTGTATGTCTGTGAAGACCTCCCCGCGAATTTGGTTTTCAGTGGGTGCCGTGGGTTTCTGGGTCCCCAGGAAAAACCTTTTGCGGCCCCTCTCTGCCCTCTCTTTATCTCCCTCTGCAGTCCCCACTCCACTTGCTGGCCAGCGACTGCACAATTGCCTCCCGCTTTTAAGGTGGCTCTGGACGGGTGTACGTGGGGCGGGTGTGAGGGGAGGGGGCTCTGGGCTGCAGGCGAGCTGCTCCTGAAATAGTGCCCTAGGCCCGCAGGATCGCCCTGCTGGGAGCCCCCAGCAGCAGGTTCCACCGGAGCCCTGGCCGGGGCTCAGGGAGCTCAGCTGGGGGGAGCTCTTCCTTCCTCTGCTGTTCACACAGACATGCTCAGACGGGGGTCCCCCAGAGCGGGGGACAGGGTGAGGGTGGGGAGGGGCTGTCGGGGTCCAATCCAAACCCCTCAAGGCAGCACTGGGCTCTTATCCCCCTATCTGGCTTCTCTGTGGGGCAGCTTCCCAGGTGGTGTGGGGCACATGGTGGGCGACCAGTTCCAAAGCCCCCTTGGAATCTGGGCCACCCCGGAGTAGGAAGGGTTCAGAGTTAGGAGATGCATAACAAGCAGAAGTTGGGGGTGAGGGTGCGGGTGGGGGTGAAATACCAAGGTTGTGGAAAACAAGGACTTGAAGTGGGGCGAGCAGAAGCTGTTCAGAGGGCTCTTTCCCCGAGCCTGTCACCACCCCCTTCCCACGGTGAGGCCCGGGCTCACGTGCCTGCGGACCTGGGGAGCGGTTTTGTTGGCTGTATAAAGCCCATTTGTGTGCTCGGCGGGGGAAGGGCCACTGCGGCACCATGAAGAGACAGCCGCTCCAACTGCCCGTCCCAGCCACCTCCCTCCCCAGGGAACCCAGATCTGGGGCGGTTGTTGTCGTAGGAGAAGACACTGACCCACGGCAGGGAGGCCCGGCCAAGGGAAGAGACAGGGACACCTTACAAACCACCACCAGCATCATAAAAAAAAGAAAAAAAGAAAAAAAGGCGGACTCCAGAGAAAGAGAGGGAGAGAGGGAGAGAGCTTGTAGTGCAGATGGGAGAAGGGGCCGGGGGTCTTCTCTCCTGCTAACGAAGGGTGGAGGCTGGCCAGGCGGGACTGAGGGAAACCTGCGGCCCAGGAGCCGAGAGACAGGAGCTTGGAGGCTGGTGTCTCAAGAATGTGGGCTGGTGTTTGCTCCCCCACTGCACTGGAAATCCCGATCGGAATGTGTATCCTAAATCCCTCGTTAAAGAGTGCAAAACCTGCAGATAACTTCAAGCCAGACACTGAAACCTTTTTCTCCTCCATACCCTTCAGCAGACTCACCAGCTGGGAGGATGCACCCATTTGAGCTCCCTCTGCTCTCCTTGCTCCTGCCAAGTCCTAAGAAATGGCCCAGACAGAGGGAGCAGGAGCTAAATAAGGGAGCGGGATAACAGCCAAATGAACAGAATAATGCATGTGCTGGGTCATCAGCCTGGCCTTTCTGTGTCCTGTGATTGAGCTGCCGTTCTGCAGATGTCACTTCCTTCTTCATTCTCCTGTTACCCTCCAAATTATTTTTCTCCTGCAGCAAAATTTCATGTTTCGAGGTTACCCCAAAGCCCCACCTATCCCACCTCAGAAGAATAAAAAAGCTGAAAGGTAGATTGGGCTACACTTAGTTTAATGCGAAAGAGTGGAAAAAAGGAAGCAAGCAGAGAAAAGAAGAGGTCCGACAGAGTGACCTCTGCCAGGACAGAGCTCTGGGACTGAGAGTCAACCTCCAAGGCAAGAAATGTCTTGCCAGGCGCCACCTCCTGGCTTGTCTATGAATTTCTAAATTTAATTTTTTTTTGGAGGGGGGGGCTGTTAGTCTTTCTGGGAAGTATTTCACTGTTGGTGGGCTTTGGGATTTTGCTTACTCACTGATCATTGTTTCTCAAAGATGTCTTAGCCCCAAATCCGCGCTTTCCCGGTCTCTGAGCGAGCAGCCCCTCTAGCTGCGTTCCGCCCACCCCCCATGCCTCCCAGATGGACAAAAGCCTGGGTTTCTGGGAGCTGGCATGCCTAGCAGAGAAGGAGAAAGGAGGCAAGCACCTTCCTCCGGGGACGTAGCTTTATTTTGATCATTTAGCTTTACTGTAGGTATTTCTATTGTTGCTTCCCAGCCATGCTGATTTGGAGCAGGTGTAAAGAGGACCCTTAAATGTTAAAAAAATAAAAGGTGATACTTCCCCGTTCTTGTCTCTGCTCAAACTCTGGCACCTTTGTTTCACTTCCCACGTCTCCCTCTGCAGCTCCTTTCTCACCCTGGAGTTGGCTGAGCGCCTAGGAAACCCAGCGCATTTCCTGCCCTCTGGCGCCATCTCCTGTCCTTTCTGATGCGGTGAATCCAAGGGTCCCAGTGGTGACTCTTGGGGGGTTGTTTTAAGTTAAGAGGTTTCAACCTTGATAGTTCAATTCATTACAGGAACCTCTAAGTGCTCTGAGTTTGTGTGGTGGGATATGCGAAAGTTCAGTGAGGGAGGGAGGCGGATGAAAAGGAAGCAGGAAGGATCACACAGGAACTTAACTCAAGCAGTACTGGTGGTAGCTAATTGCTGAGAGGAGAGAATCCAAGAGGTGACAGAATTAGGTGGAATTAGCTTTCCTGGAAGAGCAAGCAGCCCTTCAGCATGAAATAATGTAGCACCAGAGATATGCTAATGGGTAGGTAATCACATGCTTGTCTTCTAATACTTTGGTACTGAAGCAAAACAAAAGTGTTCAAGAATTGAAGTCAGAGTAACTCGTGGGGGAGGGAGGAGAGGTCAGAAATCTTTGGATCCTTTTCTCTGTTTCGTGGTTCACACTGCATGACAAATCTTGTAGACAGAGGGCAGGTAACAGTCTGTGGTCTGAAAGGTTGCAACATCTTTCCAAAAAAGGAGTGATTTTTAATAAAAAGATAAACCTTAGAGAAAGCTTTAAAAAAAAGGAGAATTTTGTGTCATGCATTGATTCGATGCTTAGAACACTGCCTGGTACATAAATATTTGTTGACTGAATGAATCTAGTCAGATGACAGTTTTTACTTTCTTTCTGCTTCTGCTGTTTCACAAAATTTTAGACCATAAGGGTCCTCAGGGATCATTTCAATCCCCTTATTTTACACCGGTAGACGGAGTTTTGAGGGATGTAGAAATCCAGCTGTTGTCGGTCATGTAGCTGCCAGGCTAAACCGAAAATGAGGCCACAGGTCCCAGTGTGCCCCCCTACGCCATTCTCAGATGTCAGTGTGCATCAGGATCCACTGGAAAGTTTGTTAAAACACCCATTTCTGGGCCCCATCCCCATAGTTTCTGATTCTCAGGATCTAGGGTGTGCTCAGAGATTTGCATTTCTCACAAGTTCCCAGGTGATGCTGCTGCTGCTGGGGGCAGGGGTGACGGACACCACACCCTGAGACCCACTGCCCTGCCCTGCCAGCTGGAGAAGCAGAGGGAGTACGGAGTTTGCCACTCTGGAGGGATTCCAGCCATCGGGAGTCACTCTTTGCAGTCACCTTTTTCTTTAAGGTTAGTAATCCATTTACTAGTTTACAAACATATTGAGTACTTCCCAGTGCTAGGCACCATGCCAGACCCTAGCAATACAAAAAAAAAATGAGACATAACTCCTGCCCTCAAGAACTTCATGCTCTCTTAGGGGATGAAGTTACCTTACCCAACTGCCAGAATACGATGGTGATACAGTCTAGACGCTGAGATGAGCAAAGTTTTATGGGAGCCCAGAGACGGGAGCGATGAGTAGTGAGATTTCCAGCAACCTTTCTGCAGAATGGAAACATAGCCAGGGCAGTTTAACCAGGTCCTGTAGTTATATGTAAGAACATAAAAATTGCCACTCCAAGGCACGCAGACCCATGTTTCATTGCCCGTGAGAGTGACACTGAAGGATAGATTCTATCAAGGCAGGAGTCGCCTTAATGTATTTACTGAACTGCTTCCTCTGACTTTGAAAGCCTTCCCCTTGAGAACGGGAACCAAACAAGGATGCCCTTTATCACCACTCTTATTCAACATTGTGCTGGAGGTCCTAGCCAGAGC